TGAGAAGCAAATATTAAATCTTTATTAACATTATCATCTTTTAATTCTTTGATAAGTTTTTTTACTGTAGAAGATTCGCTCTCCTTAGTAGTTGACTTCTGTCTTTTATCAGATTTATCTGGTGATTCTATAATACATTTTTTTGTGTTTTACTTTCATAAAGTGGGGGTCTTTCTGACCTAATAATGGTGATACAGCCATTGAAGAACCTAATCCAAAGTCATCGCCTAATATTTCTGCAAGAGCAGAAGTTCTACTAGACTGAGATGATGATTCGGAAAACCTTCATTCGGATACTACTGGATCAATAATTTTATTACAATCAGATAAAGGGCATTTGTTTTCTGTTGTAAGTAAAAATTTTTTTCTATACATTTTTTATAATATATATGTCCACATGAAAGTATTGTAAATGATTCGAAATTAACAGATAATATTTTGTTTTCATATAGTTTATATGGTGGCAATTCTGTAACAATGATATCTTGTACTATGTTATGTTTTGTTTCTTTTAAAATATTCAAGGTGAGATTTTGAAGATTAGTAAGAGACATAATAATGATGAGTTACCAGATAAGTTTTTAATAACGAAATTACTTATACTTAGCTTTTTTATATAGTTTATTTCTCACGACTAACAAAACTAATTTGCAGATTCTATTAAGCTAATTTCAGATTTGGCGATCCGTTCATTCACGAATTAATTAGTATGAGCCAGGAGAGTCAAAGTCTCGATCTAAAGGATCATCGCTAGATCTTTGGTAGCAATTGCAGGCGATTTTTAGCTTATGGGTAAGCGCGGTTGGTATATTTGTAAGCTCCTCCAAAGTTAGATTGAGTCCTGAAGAAATCTGCCTCCCAATTACGGATAAAGATAAACAGCTTTTTCGAGAATTAATAACAGACCAGAAGGAGATGATTGATATTGTAATGAATAAATATCGATTTTTACTTCATCACAGACATAACTATAAGGGCAGAAAATTAATACATATAATGTGGGTATATATATATACTGAAAAAAGTGCTGATAAAGTATTGATAGAGGTACCTCCATCGAAAATATTATCTAGAAAGGTTTTAGCCCACATCAAAGAACGATTCCAAGACCTTCCACTCGTATCAGTTATTATAGTTGATTAGATAGATCATTACTCTGGAATGCAGACACAGTTGGTATACTTATTTTTACGATATTTTCGGATAGGAGAAACAATCTTTTTCTTTTTAACATGAATACGATGAATCGGATATTCGAGGCTCTGCCTCTTCTTTTAGGGTTTTATTGGGTCAAGATTATACCAGTCTGAATCTGTGGATTCTGAATCAGAGCTGGATGAATCAGTCTCTGTTTCAGATTTGTTGTGAAATATTTCATGACATTTCTTTCATTGCTTATTATTACAAAACAATGACCCTTCAAGTCTATCTTCGATATTTGAGAGAATTTTGTTAATTATATTTATAACCTCCTCTTGAGCTAGATCAGATTTAGATTCTGTTGATTTAGAGACAAAGTCCCATGATTCGGAGAATCACCTAGACACGTAAGTGCCATTGTTCTACAATACGGCCTGCTCTGCAATAGATAAGTTATTTTTAGTGGAGCTGGCTTTATGGCTCGAAGAGTCGCCTATAGGTCTGCTATCTTTTTTGATTAATGGGATACTCATATCATTTATCTCAATTTTAGCATAGCGCTTACAATTTTCCAGAGAAAATCCAAAGCTAATTTTTGCTTCGCGCATCCGTAACCAATCCTGTTCTAGCACCAAATCAAATAATAGATTTTTGTGAATTTGAAAATCTATTACTTCGGTACCATCTAAGCTTCGCTATTTTCTTTTATACCGAAATTGCAAATCTAAGCATTTTATTTCTTTGCCTATCAAATTATCACCAGATATACCTTCTAACCTATAATCTTCTTCAAGCTTATTATACAAGCACTTGCTAATAGTATTGGATTTAGATGTTATATCGATTAATGCTTTTACTGTGATTTTTCCCTCTACGATTGTTTTTATGAAAACCATGTCAAATATTGCTAGAAGCAACTACATAGTAGCTATTTAATGATATATATTATAACTGAAAAAATAACTAAATTTAGATAATTAATTTTAGACAGATATATTATAAGTTAATAATTTCTGATATATAAATTCCTTATATATTATTTATTTCCTCTTTGCCAATTACTGAAGATAGTGATACCCGAGATTTAGCAAGATATTATAAACACGATAGCAAACCCTGATATTTCTCGAAAAAATCGTATATCATGCAAGGCTAAAAGAAAAAAGAAAATATTAAGGAGCAAAGCCCCATTGCTTCGCAATAATGATACCGCATCTGAGTTCTCATCTTCATCTTTATCTGGGTCTAGTTATGAATAGTCTAATGATGAAGATTTTGCTATAAATATGGTGAAAGCAAAGAAGCGTGATTAGTTCTCATTGTCAAAAATTTCTCTGTATAAATTGATATTATCCTCGACCTCACTATTTTCTTGTTTAGGTGCTGGAGTATTTGGTCTGTCATTCATTACACCATAATGTTCAACTGATGAAGCATGACCTATTTTATATCTACATGCCAATTGCCGTAAATATTAATAGTGGGAATCATTCCTACCTCCATGTACTCTGGAAGCATGATCGGTACCTATTTTTCTTAATATATATGAGCTAATTCTATGGCGACTTAAGAATTGATTAAGAGATGCAACATTAGTATTCCCATCCTTATCTTTTAACAAGAAGAGAAATTTATCCAGTATTGATCTCTGAATCCAGATAAGTAATTCTCTTGCTCGTATTGGATTTTTTTCTATTGAAAGGAATGGCCGAGGTTCTTCTACCTCACCTTTATTTTTTGCATAACCAATATAGTACCAAGAATAGTCAGGATTATACCATGACTCGCAACTTGGTTTGTATCGGTTGATACGAAGATTTTTCATATCTGCTGATCGCATACATAGCATTATCATTACGTCTATTAGATTTTGTATTAAAGGAGGCTTGGTAGTATCACATTCGCTAAGTCTTTCCTAAACCTTTTCCAGATAAAAGAACTCAGAACAATCATAACCATTAATTTCACGAAGTATACGCTTCTTGCTTGAATCTGATTTGCTTCTTCAGTAATAAAAGGTATTTTCGTTACCTCAATGATGAGATAATCAGCTCCTAAGCTACGCAATTTTTTCTGTAATAAATTAAGACGAGAATTTCCCACAATAGTAGTGGGAGCAGAAGAAGCCAAGTCATATACTATTCCATTTATTTCTTCAGGTGAGAGATTATTTTTTATAATATCTTGAACAATAATTTTAATGGGATCTCTTTCATCAACATGTCTCCCAGGAGCTCGAATAGGAATAAGAGTATCAGCTTGCTCCTTACTTAATCCCAATTCTTGGAAGCATCTTTTTGCCTAATTTCTGGCTTTTCGGGCCTGCTCTTTTGTCTTGCTATTTAAAAGTTTACTAGCCAACTCTTTGACATAACTACTAAGCTGTAGTAAACTAGTTTGTAGAGTCAATTTGTAGTATTTTACAAATGATGTAGCGATTTTTGCTATGGTTAGTATAGCGAAGCTAGTATCTTTGACACATATGTTAATTGAGATAGTTTATGTAGACTATTTTTGTCTGATATATACTATGGGGATTCTTTTTTTAAATCGAAATTAATTACGCTTTTTTCTATACCCATCCAAATAAATTTTGGCACGATTCAACAGTTATAAGATATTTGTGCTATATGTCTGGTCTGTTTTATAATATTTTGGGTGGTGGTATTACTGCTGGCTTCTATATATTAAATAAGAAGGCTGTATGATCAGAACAACCATAATCGATATGTTCAGATATTTCTGAGTAATTCGATAAATCACTTACATGTCTATATCCATTGCGGATTAATTTACAGAATGTTGGTCCATTCAGATTTATCATCTGGTCAGTTAATAGGTTAAGTACTTTTTCTGGAGTTTCTAATTCTTGATCGCTCATTTTGTTTACGGTATATATAAAGTATGAGAACATATTGTTTTTGTAATATTTTTATTGAAAATTTTTATATTGTCTAGTTTGAAGAGGCAAAAAAGCTCACTTCATTAAATGTTTCTACCTATAAAACCTTTTTATTCTCACCTTATCATAATGATCAAACTGAGTTGTAATAGACACAGAGTATTCTGCTTCACAGACTTACCATAGCAATCCATTTTTCTGGAGTATGGTTTTATTTTTTATCTATTCTTCATCAGTATCAAGCCATATGCATTCGCCTGCATCTTCAAGTCTATAGCGTAAAATTTCTTCTTCTATCAATCTTTCCTGATACGTCATTTCTATAAAATCGTGGAATTATTACCTTGTTCTATATTAAAGAAACAGGTATTTGCATCAATATCTATCCTTGTAAGATAATCTATTGAATCAGTTTTGTCTTTATCTGTAATGGTCACGAACTTATTGGGATCCTCATTATAATCTATAGCCCACTGCCTGAGATATTT